CCATAGTGAGTGGGATAGAACATACCTTCACCACAGTGAGTGGGATAGAACATACCTTCACCATAGTGAGTGGGATAGAAGATACCTTCACCACAGTGAGTGGGATAGAACATACCTTTACCATAGTGAGTGGGATAGAAGATACCTTCACCATAGTGAGTGGGATAGAACATACCTTCACCACAGTGAGTGGGATAGAACATACCTTCACCACAGTGAGTGGGATAGAACATACCTTTATTATAGTGAGTGGGATAGAAGATACCTTCACCATAGTGAGTGGGATAGAACATACCTTTACTATAGTGAGTGGGATAGAAGATACCTTTACTATAGTGAGTGGGATAGAACATACCTTCACCATAGTGAGTGGGATAGAACATACCTTCACCATAGTGAGTGGGATAGAAGATACCTTCACCATAGTGAGTGGGATAGAACATACCTTTGATATAGTGAGTGGGATAGAAGATACCTTCACCATAGTGAGTGGGATAGAACATACCTTCACCACAGTGAGTGGGATAGAACATACCTTCACCATAGTGAGTGGGATAGAACATACCTTCTTCAAGGTGTGGGATAGAAGATACCTTCACCATAGTGAGTGGGATAGAAGATACCTTCACCATAGTGAGTGGGATAGAAGATACCTTCACCATAGTGAGTGGGATAGAACATACCTTCACCATAGTGAGTGGGATAGAACATACCTTCACCATAGTGAGTGGGATAGAACATACCTTTACCATAGTGAGTGGGATAGAACATACCTTCACCATAGTGAGTGGGATAGAACATACCTTCACTATAGTGAGTGGGATAGAACATACCTTCACTATAGTGAGTGGGATAGAACATACCTTCACCATAGGCAGTGGGATAGAACAGATTCGCAGTGGTTCCACTACATTGGGACAGGTTGAACCAAGTCCACGGGCCCCGACCCCGACCCCTAATGGTGCTCCACCCTAAGAAAAAAAATGTTCCAATAAAGGTATCGAAAAGCTTAAAAGACAAAATCAAATAGTTCATAACTTAGAAGGAGAGAATATTATGTATAAAAAAAATCCCGGGGACGGGCCGTAATCCACTTAATTCCAGGAACCCCCACTCGTCTAGTTGAGCCACTGTGTACATGACGTATGACCTCCCATTTCTAGTTCTGGTTGACAAGTTGTAGGCAGATGATGATGCCGGGTTTATCATAGACTAGAAGAATGAGCATACACATCGTTCTGACATCGGTCTACTGGGAGCGTCAGCACCATACTCCAACTTCCAGTAACTAACCCCACACTACCAAGGACCACGTTTCACCCCCATATCATTCGACCCGACCAGATCTAACGATTTTTCTAACTACCAAGTCCATTGATCTAGATCCAATAACTTTCAACAACTACCAAGTCTGCGATATCAACATCTCTGTTTTTCCCTGTGACTTACACTTAAAGATTGTGGTTTGGAAAGTGTAATCGAAGTGACCTAAGTGTTGAGTTAATATTAGTGTATTAGTATATTAGTTATACTAGTGTAAACCAGGCTTGAATATAAAATTTATCAATTACAAGATGACTTGTTGACATTTGTTATCATGGATTGTTTTAAAAATGAGAAACTTGACCGATAGAATTTTCCCTGAATGATGTGATAATGGTTACAAGATTGTTATATCTATACTGGTTAGAACTCACTAGAGATGCGCCCACTAGGAAAGGTACACTAACCACCATGGTTCTCGAGGATCATGTCTACCACCTAGTTCTTCAACAAACTCTCCTCGACAAGGATCTTTTATAAGGACACCAATTTAATCGATTTAAGAGAGCTTGCCAGGCAAGGTAACATACGCTAACTACCAGCTGTCAGAAATGATAACAAAGTTTTTAGTGACTTAATAATGATTTTTCAAAAAATCAAGGCACCGACCGACGGGCAAGCGGACAGGAGCGACGGCAATATACGTCCACATTTCCATGTGGGCATATAAAAATGGCATACGCTCTTGAGAAACGTGGCCATAAATCTTGATTTTACAATGATAACAGCGTAGGTTCTCAAGGATTCTGTCTACCAGCTCGTTCTTAGCCATAATCATTTGATAGGAATGGCAACTTTTCAAGGATCCTTTCTACCAACTGGTCCATTGAACCTCTTGACAATGGTCTTCCAAATTTAGCAACTTAAGCTTTTAAGGATCATGTATACTAGCTGGCCCTTGGACAGAAATCTTGGCATTAATTTTACGATGATAACAACTAACCTTGTAATGATTTTACAAAGATAACAATCGAGGAACTCAAGGATTCTGTCAAACATTTTGGTCGTGGATATCGATAAGAACTTCGCTTCTGGGTTCTTTTCAACAAGTTTGTCATTCGCCAAACCTCTTAGTAATGGTTTTACATGGACAAGAATATAGGTGCTTGTCCTTGTCTACCAGCCGGTCCATGTGCATACATCTTAACAATCAATTGAAATATCAGTGTGTGTTTTGAAGGTCTTGTGTTTATTGTTGTTCTCTTCCCACCTCTATTTATCTCTGGGATGTATTTATCTATGTGAAATAGCTTATTTCGTTTTTAAATTAAAATTATATCTAATATAAATATATAGTGTACTATACCGCGTGGTACGTACGTTGTCAAGCTTTTCAAACTATTTTCTAATTATAGGGCTAGAAACCTCCCCCCCCCCCTCCTCTCCCGTAATCAACCTGAACCAACTGGTAACATTTTAATAGAATATTACTATAGTCCGGAATAGGGCTGGGCGATATTGGTTCAAGCTGATATCACGATATCAAGCACTAATATCACGATATGGGTAGACTATATCACGATATGGTAGACTATATATCACGAAATGGGTAGACTATATATCACGATATGGGTAGACTATATATCACGATATGGGTAGAATATATATCACGATATGGATAGACTATATATCACGATATGGGTAGACTATATATCACGATATGGGTAGACTATATATCACGATATGGGTAGAATATATATCACAATATGGGTAGGCTATATATCACGATATGGGTAGAATATATATCACGATATGGGTAGACTATATATCACGATATGGATAGACTATACATCACGATATGGGTAGGCTATATATCACGATATGGGTAGGCTATATATCACGATATGGGTAGGCTATATATCACGATATGGGTAGACTATATATCACGATATGGGTAGGCTATATATCACGATATGGGTAGGCTATATATCACGATATGGGTAGACTATACGATATGGGTAGACTATATATCACGATATGGGTAGACTATATATCACGATATGGGTAGACTATACATCACGATATGGGTAGAATATATATCACGATATGTGTAGACTATATATCACGATATGGTAGACTATATATCACGATATGGGTAGACTATACATCACGATATGGGTAGGCTATATATCACGATATGGGTAGACTATATATCACGATATGGGTAGACTATATATCACGATATGGATAGACTATATATCACGATATGGGTAGACTATATATATCACGATATGGGTAGACTATACATCACGATATGGGTAGAATATATATCACGATATGGGTAGACTATATATCACGATATGGGTAGGCTTTATATCACGATATGGGTAGACTATATATCACGATATGGGTAGGCTATATATCACGATATGGGTAGACTATATCACGATATGGGTAGACTATATATCACGATATGGGTAGAATATATATCACGATATGGGTAGACTATATATCACGATATGGATAGACTATATATCACGATATGGGTAGACTATGTCACGTAGACTATATATCACGATATGGGTAGACTATATATCACGATATGGGTAGACTATATATCACGATATGGATAGACTATATATCACAATATGGGTAGACTATATATCACGATATGGGTAGACTATATATCGCGATATTTCTTAAGTATGGTTTTACTGATACAAAATGTTGTTGTTTTCTGTCTAAATTTTAAATGTAAGAAAATAAAACAATAAATATCTCTTAAAAACACCCCAGTCTTGAATATCATTAAATTAAAATCTGTTTCAAACATTAACTTTATTGTTCGAATTGTGAATTAATCTGATCTGGAACAAAATCTTACGACACATCATGATAACTACCATATATCACGATATGACGATATTTCGGTTTTTATTAATCAAATATATTACTAACGATCTAAATTCCAACATCGGTATTTGTCGCCATAACGGTATATCACTCAGCTTTCCTTCGAAACTAGCTGACTCTTTATCTGAGACCGGCTTTCTTACTCCCTATCTGATCTCTGATAGTTATTATTGGTGGAAATATGTCTGAAACTTACTGACTTTATATCTGTGAGACTAGGTAAGAGTCAGTTAGTTTTAGACTAGTATAATAACTATCAGAGACTAGGTAAGAGACAGTAAGTTTCAGACTAGTATAATAACTATTAGAGACTAGGTAAGAGTCAGTAAGTGTCAGACTAGTATAATAACTATCAGAGACTAGGTAAGAGTCAGTAAGTGTCAGACTAGTATAATAACTATCAGAGACGAGGTAAGAGTCAGTAAGTTTCAGACTAGTATAATAACTGTCAGAGACTAGGTAAGAGTCAGTAAGTTTCAGACTAGTATAATATCTATCAGACTAGGTAAGAGTCAGTAAGTTTAGACTAGTTCAATAACTATCAGACTAAGTAAGAGACAGCTAGTTTCAGACTAGTATAATAGCGGCTAGGTAAGAGACAGCTCGTTTCAGACTAGTATAATATCTATCAGAGACTAGGTAAGAGTCGGTTAGTTTCAGACTAGTATAATATCTATCAGAGACTAGGTAAGAGTCAGTAATTTTCAGACTAGTTCAATAACTATCAGAGACTAGGTAAGAGTCAGTTGGTTGCAGACTAGTATAATATCTATCAGACTAGGTAAGAGTCAGTAAGTTTCAGACTAGTATGATATCTATCAGAGACTAGGTAAGAGTCAGTGAGTTTCAGACTAATATAATATCTATCAGAGACTAGGTAAGAGTCAGTAAGTTTTAGACTATTATAATAATAATTATAAAACGAGGTAAGAGTCAGTAAGTTTTAGACTATTATAATAATAATTATAAAACGAGGTAAGAGTCAGTAAGTTTCAGACTAGTATAATATCTATCAGAGACTAGGTAAGAGTCAGCTAGTTTCAGACTAATATAATATCTATCAGACTAGGTAAGAGTCAGTAAGTTTTAGACTATTATAATAATAATTATAAAACTAGGTAAGAGTCAGTAAGTTTTAGACTATTATAATAATAATTATAAAACGAGGTAAGAGTCAGTAAGTTTCAGACTAGTATAATAACTATCAGATACTAGGTAAGAGTCAGTAAGTTTTAGACTAGTATAATAACTATCAGACTGGGTAAGAGTCAGTAAGTTTCAGACTAGTATAATAACTATTAGAGACTAGGTAAGAGTCAGTAAGTGTCAGACTAGTATAATAACTATCAGACTGGGTAAGAGTCAGTAAGTTTCAGACTAGTATAATAACTATCAGACTGGGTAAGAGTCAGTTAGTTTTAGACTAGTATAATAACTATCAGATACTAGGTAAGAGTCAGTAAGTTTCAGACTAGTATAATATCTATCAGAGACTGGGTAAGAGTCAGTAAGTTTCAGACTAGTATAATATCTATCAGATACTAGGTCAGAGTCAGTAAGTTTTAGACTAGTATAATAACTATCAGATACTAGGTAAGAGTCAGTAAGTTTTAGACTAGTATAATAACTATCAGACTGGGTAAGAGTCAGTAAGTTTCAGACTAGTATAATATCTATCAGATACTAGGTAAGAGTCAGTAAGTTTTAGACTAGTATAATAACTATCAGACTGGGTAAGAGTCAGTAAGTTTTAGACTAGTATAATAACTATCAGATACTAGGTAAATTTCATACTAGTTTTAGACTAGTATAAGATCTACCATCAGAACCTATTTAGAAATATTAAAACAGAACCTAAAAAAACATGAATTTATTAATCAAAGTTTCACGCTATGCTATCTTCAGAAGCTATTTATATTTTGTCATTATTATAAGTTTGTATAAAACGAGACAGACTACGTGAGTATTTTTGCATGTAAAAATATAATATAATTATCGAGTTAACAGGATGACTTATTTAATATCTTTAAAAACTGTTAATTGTGACCAACATCTTATAGTGAATAACCCAACTATGACGTACGTGTTCGAGGGTTGGTTGAAAAGTTCTAAGTCTTGATGGGATATCTCAATCAGATTGGAACAAACTGAAACAGTCTAGAATGTCTAGTAATGATGACGTCATTTCCAATGTGAATGTGAGTTGGTATAAACAATACTTTCTTGACATAATTCAAACCTTGAAACATGGCTGGTAAAAGTGTGTCAGTCTGGAAGGGGACTATGTATACTATTTATCTATAAATTAAAAAACAATGACCCAGTATGGTTAGGCTTAGTCTGAAACATTTACCTCTATTCCAACGTCTGATAACTACTTTGACAAATATCGGCCGACAACTTTCAAAATAGTTGTCCGAGGCCGGAATAGAGGACAGTGGCGTTTCTATGAAACATGAGGTGGGGTGGTCGAGCAGGGTCCACACAATTTTCCAGGGGAGAAGTGGGGGTGGGGGATGCGCAATCTCTCTTTCACTTTTTAATATGATAATAAATTCATTTCTAACCCGGGCCAGCCTCTTTTCTGATAGAGGTATATTTCGGTGTAAGTGAGGATGCGACTTTTCAGTCAGCCCTCGTTTACATGAAAGCTGTAAATGACTAATTTCCTTGACATGTGTGTCTATAAATAACTTCTCATTAGATCAGTATGTCAGTAGGTCAGTAGAGCAGGCAGCATGTACCCTGGAGAGAAGGGCGTTTAAAGATTCGCTTCACTAAATCTTTTATTTACCGAGGTCGAATGATATATTATATTTTTATTTGTATCTATTTTTAGATTGAAATGAATGATATGTACTCTGGTATATAATAGCAGCTCATACCAGATCTACTTACATAAGAAATAAATAAAAAGGCGTATGTAATAATATGTAAAAGTCTTTGAATGGCATTTAGCAATTGTGAGTACGATATATAGACACAGCTTTATTGAACAACAATCACTGGTTAAAGTTTTATACAAAGTTTCGACGTGATAACTTGTTGTTGAGCATGAATGTGCAGGCTCTGAGTTTAGCATTTAAAGTGATAGGGCCTACTACGTCTTTGAATGAATATAAAATTTAAGTTCTCAAGAATGGTCAATATGAGTATATATTCATCAGTGAACTTACCTGATGTTATAAAGTTACAACAGAGTTCCTGTAAAATCTAGAAAATTGGAAAATTCATAAAACTAAGTAATTATTGAAAAACGCTTAATCATATATTAAGCATTTTTCAATAGTTAATTGCATATTTATGGATAATTACTGAGTTTTTTGGATTTATCGGATTATATAAGGATCCTGTTAAGTTATTTATGACACCAGGTATATCTACTGATGAATATATGCTCTTATTGGCCAAGTTTAAAATTCTTAAATTTTATGTTCATTTTAAGACGTAGTATCACTTTAATATGAAAATAAAACTGACAAATGTCCTCAAAATAGCCTTTATTCTTGAAAACAGATGAGAAAATCATTTGAATTATTGAATCACAGAATTTCTTATATTTTTCTATTTTAAACTAATTTATTAGCTAGTATTTAGACAATGGCTGGAATTATTCTCAGTTTGAATTTAGCTCATTTTGAAAAGAACAAGCTATTAGCAGCCATTTTAGAAAGTCATGAAAATAGCATTACTAATTAGACTCGACCGGTCATTCAAGATAAAGCCAGTAGCCGGTACCTGTGAAGTAGGTCTGTCCTATGCCAGGAAGTTTTTTACGATACATCGTCTAAGATTCTAATTCAAGAGAGGATCGTCAGTATGCTTGGTTTGTTTTTCACAATTTTTCTATCGGTTACAAGGAAGTTATCTTTAACAGTTTATGGGCGAAGATCCCTCACAATTCACAAAAAACGGTCGTTGCTATAAATAATTAAACCTTTCTTAATGACTTTGAAAAAAATACATATCCTCGGAGGTGGAGGTTTTATAATTCCAATCAAGGATTAGTTTAGTCCGATTCATCTACCTCTAACTTATTACTAAACTAAAAACTTTGATGCAACCGCAAACGTGACTTCAATGGTGCAGGGAGATAAATGGTATGACTTAACAAGGCTACAAAAATATCAATCCGTCAGAATAAATCAGGGTTTGGTTGGTTTCGTGGTAGCCTAAATAAAAATGTTTAAAAACCCTGAGAATTCGGTGGTTTGGAACTTATCCATTAAAACAGAGGCAAGTTTTTTTTCTGACCCTAGGCGACTAAACTGTCGGAACAGCTAAGAGGTTGGAATAGAGGCAGGTGTTTAGGACAAGGAGTATATTATTTAACTTCAAATTATAATTCAAATGGTTCAACAAAGTGATTTTGATTGAAAATTCGAGTTTTTGCATTTTGCCATTGTAGGAATGATATTAATGTAATTTCACCCTTCTGAAGACTGTAATGAGTAAAGGGAGATAACTATATTTAAGATACCTACTTCCGGTATAAAAGAATTGTGGGACGGTCGGTGCCACGTAGGAAGCCATATTTGTTGACGTTTGTAACATCAACTTTTGATTACAGTAACAACACGTTAGTTTGGTGATTTTGAAGACAATTCCATCATGGGAGGGTCAGTAAGCACTGAAATTCCTGGAGGGGGAACAGAGGGCTATCATGTTTTACGGGTAAGTGTTGGTTTGTCAAATTAGCAGACTCTTTCTTCAGCGTTTGTGAATTTGTAATTGTATCATTTCAACCGGCTATTTTTTTGATTTTCGTCAATGATCTTGGTTGACAACTCATCATTTCGACTGTTTGCTAAATATGGATTGTCAATATTAAATTAAGGATGCCTCTAGTATAAAATAAGCCATGTATTTTGTGAGTGAACACTCCAACAGGAGCCTTTTGCCATTTGGCAGGATTTGGCCTAAGTGAAAATAAAACAGCTGACAGCTTTTTCAAAATCTATATTTTTGACAGACCTAGGCCTTCCTATTTAGAGTTCCCTTTTAACTTGAAATAAATCCAGGTGTATGTCCATTCTTACTCTGATGTCAGTTTAAAGGTGGGAATAGATGACCTATTATGTCAGTGTATTGTAACTTGGCATCACTTAATAATTTTCTTACATTCTCAGAAAAGCCATAATTTCATAAATTAATAATTAGGCTATGTATCTGCTGTAGATTGAATTTACAGTACCATATGTTAGATATATATCTATATACCTGCCAGTTTGCTTGAGTTGATAAATTAATTACTGTGTTCAACCAAGCGTAGAAACAATAAAACTTCTCATTCTAATTCAGTGGACTTCAATAAAATCTAGAATTTCAGGTTCATGAATAATAAATAAACTGACTGTTAGTACTAGTTAACTGAATATGATACTTATTTTAAGTTTATTTTAAGTTTAAGGGTGTGTAAAGGGCCTTATGTAATAAATCATGTTTTGAGATTAGTGACGTCATCAAACACTTAGTTAATTGCAGGAATGGTTTTTTAGAAAACCTCTTTACAATCCCTTTATTAAACAGAAAATCAGGGTTCACTTTCCAAATTTTTGTCCCAACCCAATGTTGAGGATGATGGTAGAAACATGTTGAAACATTGCAAAATCATTAACCAGTCATTTTCTTTTTCCTAAAAGTTTTGTTTGCATAAAGATATGAAAGGGACTTTGATTCAGTAAAAGTATGATATTAAACTATTTAGTTGTATGATATTAAACTATTTAGTTGTATGATATTAAACTATTTAGTTGTATGATATTAAACTAGTTAGTTGTATGATATTAAACTATTTAGTTGTATGATATTAAACTATTTAGTTGTATCTTAAACTATTTAGTTGTATGATATTAAACTATTTAGTTGTATGATATTAAACTATTTAGTTGTATGATATTTGTTTATTCAGTATGAATATGATATTTTACTATATTTTTATATATTTTCAGGTACAAGATGGTTCTCCTGGTCATTTGGCTGGACTTGAGGCTTTCTTTGACTTTATTATCGCCATTGGTAACACAAGATTGGTAGGTCTCTTTTCAGTCTATAATTTAAAACAATATAATCGTCAAAATATGATGGCATCAGTATCAGGAATTACAATTTTCATTTAATGACTATCCAGTGTTATTAAGCACTAGAATGACAAGAAACAGAATATGTTAATTGTATTTACAGAGCCAGGATAATGATACATTACGTTAATTGTATTTACAGAGCCAGGATAATGATATATTATGTTAATTGTATTTACAGAGTCAGGATAATGATATATTATGTTTATTGTATTTACAGAGCCAGGATAATGATGTATTATGTTAATTGTATTTACAGAGCCAGGATAATGATATATTATGTTTATTGTATTTACAGAGCCAGGATAATGATATATTATGTTAATTGTATTTACAGAGCCAGGATAATGATATATTATGTTAATTGTATTTACAGAGCCAGGATATTGATATATTATGTTTATTGTATTTACAGAGCCAGTTTATTGATATATTATGTTAATTATGTTTACAGAGCCAGTTTATTGATATATTATGTTAATTGTATTTACAGAGCCAGGATAATAATATATTATGTTAATTGTATTTACAGAGCCAGAATAATGATATATTATGTTTATTGTATTTACAGAGCCAGGATAATGATATATTATGTTAATTGTATTTACAGAGCCAGGATAATAATATATTATGTTAATTGTATTTACAGAGCCAGAATAATGATATATTATGTTAATTGTATTTACAGAGCCAGGATAATGATATATTAAAAGAGTTATTAAAAGCTAATATAGAGAAACCTGTTAAAATGGCAGTGTATAGCAGTAAAACACAGAATGTCAGAGAGGTCACTATTACACCTAGTCATAACTGGGGTGGGCAAGGTCTACTTGGTGTCAGTATAAGGTAGGTACTTAAAACACTTCTCCCTTCCCCTTCGCTAGTCTTAAGTTTCTTTGGGTCAGTATAAGTAGAAGCTAGACTCTTAAACAATCTTCTTCTGTCATAACTGGGGTGGTCACAATAACAAACCTATTCTGAATAATAGGCCTAGTTTGAATGTCAACTTGGTGGTTTGATTATACAGACGATTAAAAATGTCTACTTGGCAAGATATAAATAAATCAACCTCCCTCTCCAGTCTACTAGTATAGTATTGAACTTTTTTTCTTAACTTTATTTTTTATTTTCTCCTAGATTCTGTTCATTTGAAGGTGCTAATGAAAATGTCTGGCATATTTTGGTGAGTATTATTAATTATGTTTGAATTTTAATTTTGACTGTATTGGTACCAGTAGTTGACTTGACTTCATGCTGTCCAAACTTCTCAGTAGTTCAAGACCTTGATAAACTTTCCGTCTCTCAATAACCCCATTAGGGTTCAGAAAGACCATCAAGTATTTAGTATATTAGGTTCAGGAATGTACAGAACAGCAGGAAACTGTTTTCATTCATTAAAGTTTGATTTAAAACTTTAACCATAGTAACCCAATTTATAACAGAAAAGTCATCATTTAATTAGAAATCATTTGATAATTATATATCTTCTTCACTGTCACTGAAAAATGAAGGAAATAGTAAGCCAATGCAGTATATAACAGATAAGTCATCATTGAATTTGAAATTAATTGATTATTATTATATAATGTCAGTTGAAGCGATCTGTTGAATATGCTTTGCGTTTGGGAGATCTAGAGAACAAGACATGAGTTGAAGCGATCTGTTGAATATGGTTTGCGTTTGGGAGATCTAGAGAACAAGACATGAGTTGAAGCGATCTGTTGAACATGGTTTGCGTTTGGGAGATCTAGAGAACAAGACATGAGTTGAAGCGATCTGTCGAATATGGTTTGCGTTTGGGAGATCTAGAGAACAAGACATGAGTTGAAGCGATCTGTTGAATATGGTTTGCGTTTGGGAGATCTAGAGAACAAGACATGAGTTGAAGCGATCTGTCGAATATGCTTTGCGTTTGGGAGATCTAGAGAACAAGACATGAGTTGAAGCGATCTGTTGAATATGGTTTGCGTTTGGGAGATCTAGAGAACAAGACATGAGTTGAAGCGATCTGTTGAATATGCTTTGCGTTTGAGAGATGTAGAGAACATGACATGAGTTGAAGCGATCTGTTGAATATGCTTTGCGTTTGGGAGATCTAGAGAACAAGACATGAGTTGAAGCGATCTGTTGAATATGCTTTGCGTTTGGGAGATCTAGAGAACATGACATGAGTTGAAGCGATCTGTTGAATATGCTTTGCGTTTGGGAGATCTAGAGAACAAGACATGAGTTGAAGCGATCTGTTGAATATGCTTTGCGTTTGGGAGATCTAGAGAACAAGACATGAGTTGAAGCGATCTGTTGAATATGCTTTGCGTTTGGGAGATCTAGAGAACAAGACATGAGTTGAAGCGATCTGTTGAATATGCTTTGCGTTTGGGAGATCTAGAGAACAAGACATGAGTTGAAGCGATCTGTTGAATATGGTTTGCGTTTGGGAGATCTAGAGAACAAGACATGAGTTGAAGCGATCTGTTGAGTATGGTTTGCGTTTGAGAGATGTAGAGAACTAGACATGAGTTGAAGCGATCTGTTGAATATGCTTTGCGTTTGGGAGATCTAGAGAACTAGACATGAGTTGAAGCGATCTGTTGAATATGGTTTGCGTTTGGGCGATCTAGAGAACAAGACATGAGTTGAAGCGATCTGTTGAATATGGTTCGCGTTTGGGCGATCTAGAGAACAAGACATGAGTTGAAGCGATCTGTTGAATATGGTTTGCGTTTGGGCGATCTAGAGAACAAGACATGAGTTGAAGCGATCTGTCGAATATGCTTTGCGTTTGGGAGATCTAGAGAACAAGACATGAGTTGAAGCGATCTGTTGAATATGGTTTGCGTTTGGGAGATCTAGAGAACAAGACATGAGTTGAAGCGATCTGTCGAATATGCTTTGCGTTTGGGAGATCTAGAGAACAAGACATGAGTTGAAGCGATCTGTTGAATATGCTTTGCGTTTGGGAGATCTAGAGAACAAGACATGAGTTGAAGCGATCTGTTGAATATGCTTTGCGTTTGGGAGATGTAGAGAACATGACATGAGTTGAAGCGATCTGTTGAATATGCTTTGCGTTTGGGAGATCTAGAGAACAAGACATGAGTTGAAGCGATCTGTTGAATATGCTTTGCGTTTGGGAGATCTAGAGAACATGACATGAGTTGAAGCGATCTGTTGAATATGCTTTGCGTTTGGGAGATCTAGAGAACATGACATGAGTTGAAGCGATCTGTTGAACATGGTTTGCGTTTGGGAGATCTAGAGAACAAGACATGAGTTGAAGCGATCTGTTGAACATGGTTTGCGTTTGGGAGATCTAGAGAACAAGACATGAGTTGAAGCGATCTGTCGAATATGCTTTGCGTTTGGGAGATCTAGAGAACAAGACATGAGTTGAAGCGATCTGTTGAATATGGTTTGCGTTTGGGAGATCTAGAGAACAAGACATGAGTTGAAGCGATCTGTTGAATATGCTTTGCGTTTGAGAGATGTAGAGAACATGACATGAGTTGAAGCGATCTGTTGAATATGCTTTGCGTTTGGGAGATCTAGAGAACAAGACATGAGTTGAAGCGATCTGTTGAATATGCTTTGCGTTTGGGAGATCTAGAGAACATGACATGAGTTGAAGCGATCTGTTGAATATGCTTTGCGTTTGGGAGATCTAGAGAACATGACATGAGTTGAAGCGATCTGTTGAACATGGTTTGCGTTTGGGAGATCTAGAGAACATGACATGAGTTGAAGCGATCTGTCGAATATGCTTTGCGTTTGGGAGATCTAGAGAACAAGACATGAGTTGAAGCGATCTGTTGAACATGGTTTGCGTTTGGGCGATCTAGAGAACAAGACATGAGTTGAAGCGATCTGTTGAATATGCTTTGCGTTTGGGCGATCTAGAGAACAAGACATGAGTTGAAGCGATCTGTTGAACATGGTTTGCGTTTGGGGCGATCTAGAGAACAAGACATGAGTTGAAGCGATCTGTTGAATATGCTTTGCGTTTGGGCGATCTAGAGAACAAGACATGAGTTGAAGCGATCTGTTGAACATGGTTTGCGTTTGGGTGATCTAGAGAACAAGACATGAGTTGAAGCGATCTGTTGAACATGGTTTGCGTTTGGGTGATCTAGAGAACAAGACATGAGTTGAAGCGATCTGTTGAACATGGTTTGCGTTTGGGTGATCTATATCCAGTTAATTATGATAGAAAATTATGTTTCTGTAACGATACTTTGCTGCACAGTTTTAAGTGTAAAATCAAAACTGTTACGCACTGCTTCAGAACCACGTGAAGCCTGTAGATCTAGTTTAATTTGAAATTAATTAATAATTACAGGAAATAGAACCCAACTCCCCTGCAGATTTAGCCGGATTAAAATCAAATACAGATTATGTTATAGGTGCTGATTCTGTACTACATGAGGTTTGTAAATTAAATATTTATGACTAGATTCAGTCCAACTGGCTGTTTAACTTAGATTTATATTCTCATGTGAAACCAGGGGGCTTTATTCTGGAAGTGTTCCGATCATCTAATGGGAAGTGGCAAGCCTCTGGGAGACTGGGGGTATAAATAAGGGGCAGACGACTCAATGGGGGTGACAACTGGCTGTTTAACTTGAAATACATTCTCATGTGAGACCAGGGGCTTTATTCTGGAAGATGATTTCAGAGTTCATATCATCTGATTGGCAGTGGCAAGCCTCTGGGAGACTAGGGGGTATAAATGAAATGTAGACCGATGGGAGGACAACTGCCTGTTCAACTTAATTTATATTCATGTGAGACCAGCGGTCTTACTCACAAAAACTTGAGATGATTTCAATGTTCCAACATGTACTAATTCAATTACTAAAATACCTGTTAAATTCATATTTATAGCAAAAGCCCAAAACATTTGGACGAAACTTAATCCTACTACATAAGTAACAGCTAATGAACCTCTATATGAGCCAGTATATTTATACCATCATTGTCAATGTTTTGTTAACTCAGAAGGGTGCTTAATGTTGTTTTTTGAGATTTTTTTTCATTTTCAAGGATTTTTGTTCGTTAGTTATATGCAAAAATATATGAAGGTACCTTACCTTACTTTTTTTATTCATGTACATATTTTCAAGAATTTGTTGACTAATTCAGATGGTGAATTTTTCAGTCTGAAGATTTATTTACGTTGATTGAATCTCATGAAGGGAAACCGTTAAAACTGTATGTATATAATAGTGGTACTGATAGCTGTAGAGAAATAACTATAACCCCTAATGGAGCCTGGGGTGGACAGGGCAGGTACGTCTCCTTATTATAACTATAACCCCCAACAGAGCCTGGGGTGGACAGGGCAGGTACGTCTCCTTATTATAACTATAACCCCTAACAGAGCCTGGGGTGGACAGGGCAGGTACGTCTCGTTATTATAACTATAACCCCCTAACAGAGACTGGGGTGGACAGGGCAGGTACGTCTCCTTATTATAACTATAACCCCCTAACAGAGCCTGGGGTGGACAGGGCAGGTACGTCTCCTTATCATAACTATAACCCCTAACAGAGCCTGGGGTGGACAGGGCAGGTACGTCTCCTTATTATAACTATAACCCCTAACAGAGCCTGGGGTGGACAGGGCAGGTACGTCTCTTTATTATAACTATAACCCCCTAACAGAGCCTGGGGTGGACAGGGCAGGTACGTTTCCTTATTATAACTATAACCCCCTAACAGAGCCTGGGGTGGATAGGGCAGGTACGTTTCCTTATTATAACTATAACCCCTATCAGAGACCTGGGGTGGACAGGGCAGGTACGTCTCGTTATTATAACTATAACCCCCTAACAGAGACTGGGGTGGACAGGGCAGGTATGTCTCCTTATTATAACTATAACCCCTAACAGAGACTGGGGTGAACAGGGCAGGTACATCTCCTTATTATTACTATAACCCCCTAACAGAGACTGGGGTGGACAAGGCAGATTCATCTCCTTATTATAACTATAACCCCCTAACAGAGCCTGGGGTGGACAGGGCAGGTACGTCTCCTTATTATAACTATAACCCCCTAACAGAGCCTGGGGTGGACAGGGCAGGTACGTCTCCTTATTATAACTATAACCCCTAACAGAGCCTGGGGTGGATAGGGCAGGTACATCTCCTTATTATAACTATAACCCCTAACAGAGCCTGGGGTGGACAGGGCAGGTACGTCTCCTTATTATAACTATAACCCCCTAACAGAGCCTGGGGTGGACAGGGCAGGTACGTCTCCTTATTATAACTATAACCCCTAACAGAGCCTGGGGTGGACAGAGCAGGTACGTCTCCTTATTATAACTATAACCCCCTAACAGAGACTGGGGTGGATAGGGCAGGTACATCTCCTTATTATAACTATAACCCCTAACAGAGCCTGGGGTGGACAGGGCAGGTACATCTCCTTATTATAACTATAACCCCTAACAGAGACTGGGGTGAACAGGGCAGGTACATCTCCTTATTATAACTACCCGTAACAGAGCCTGGGGTGGACAGGGCAGGTACATCTCCTTATTATAACTACCCGTAACAGAGCCTGGGGTGGACAGGGCAGGTACGTCTCCTTATTATAACTATAACCCCCTAACAGAGCCTGGGGTGGACAGGGCAGGTACGTCTCCTTATTATTACTATAACCCCTAACAGAGACTGGGGTGGACAGGGCAGGTACATCTCCTTATTTTAACTATAACCCCCTAACAGAGCCTGGGGTGAACAGGGCAGGTACGTCTTATTATAACTATAACCCCTAATGGAGCCTGGGGTGGACAGGGCAGGTACGTCTCCTTATTATTACTATAACCCCTAACAGAGCCTGGGGTGGACAGGGCAGGTACGTCTCCTTATTATAACTATAACCCCTAACAGAGCCTGGGGTGGACAGGGCAGGTACGTCTCTTTATTATAACTATAACCCCCTAACAGAGACTGGGGTGGACAGGGCAGGTACGTTTCCTTATTATAACTATAACCCCTAACAGAGCCTGGGGTGGACAGGGCAGGTACGTTTCCTTATTATAACTATAACCCCCTAACAGAGCCTGGGGTGGACAGGGCAGGTATGTCTCCTTATTATAACTATAACCCCTAACAGAGCCTGGGGTGGATAGGGCAGGTACATCTCCTTATTATAACTATAACCCCTAACAGAGCCTGGGGTGGACAGGGCAGGTACGTCTCCTTATTATAACTATAACCCCCTAACAAAGCCTGGGGTGGACAGGGCAGGG